ATTATTTCCTATGGGAAAATTCATCTCGAGTCATGTGAATTCAACATACGTAAGGTTTCTCAGGAATGCAATATTACACGTAAGTCGGGAGTCTACTGTACTCTCTGAACCCAATGCTCTAGCCAGTTTTCTATCCACCTTACAGTGGATTTTCTATCCACCATACTTCCTTAGCTTGCCTGCAAGAATGCTGTGGGAGACCGTATCAAAAGCTTTGCTAAAATCAAGGTACACGGTCTCACCGCATCCGCAGAGCCAGTCCCCTTGTCATAGAAGGCAATAAGGTTGATCAGGCATGACTTGCCCTTGATGAATCCATGCTGATTGTTCCTAATCACCTTTTTCTCTTCAAAGTGCTTAGAAATGGATTCCTTGAGGATCTGCTCCAGGGACTGAGGTGAGGCTGACTTGTCTGTTGTTCCCTGGATCCTCCTTCTTCCCTTTCTTAAATATGGGCACTATGTTTGCCCTTTTCCAATCATCTGGGACCTCCCCTGATTGGCATGAGTTTTCAAAGATGATAGCCAGTGGCTCTGCAATCACATCAGCCAACTCCCTCAGCATCCTCAGGTGCATCCCATCCAGACCCATGGACTTGTACACATCTAGCTCTTCTAAGTAATCCCTAACCTGTTCTTCCAGCACTGAGGGCTGCTCATCTCCTCCCCAAACTGGCCACCCCTGGAAAGGCACCTCTCCACAGAAGGCTCTTGAGATCTAATCTGCCAGTTCTTTCAGTACCCAGGGATGAAGTTCACAGACCCTGCTGACTTAAATTGATTCAGATCCATCAAAAGGGTTGTCTGTGCACATGCTGGGGGTGGGGGGTGTTAATTACAATGATTCCCAGGCAGCCACTCTAATTAAAATGTCCCAACATAACGTGTTTTAAGCCCCTGCACATTTAAAATGGCCACAGGACACTTTATCTAAACCTCATTCTATGAGGTTAAGTTAAAGCTCTCTGCAGCCATTTAAAACATGGGGGGGCTTAATACATGTGACGCTGCAGCAAGACTCGATTAATTAAGTCTGTTCCAACGTGGTCTAATTAGAATGTGGAGGAGCACATGTATAGGTACCTGTGACGAGGCAAACTCCCAGGCCTGGTCACAGTACCGGCCAAGCCACCCGCCTGTCTTTGGCAGTCTGCCCGGTCTTTCCTGCCACGCCTTGTTGTTACTATAATGGTTGTAATAAATCAGGAGGCTGCCCATTTAAGACCCCGCTGTCTAGGGATGTACACATGACTCCAACCTCGCCTTATCGTGCCCCATGCCTTACAGATGTCATCCCTGAGTTGCTGTTTTCTCCGGTTTGAGGCTGAGCCAAACTCAGCCCTTGCTAGGCCTTGCACATTCATCCTATCATTCCACCCCAACAGGCCTCATTCACACCACTCGCTGTCACTGGGCCTCTAGCACTCCACCCACTCTCACTGGGCCTCTTACTCTCTGCTCCGCATAGGGCCACATTCAACCTGCTTTGCTCCCTTGAGTGGTTCCCATAGGCCTTCAGACTTGCCTGTTTGCACCCCTTGACTGACTCTGGCGCAGCCTTTCGGACCTCTCCTGTGACCCTCATCTAAGTAGTGACCAGCCAATTCACTTCGCCCTGGGCGGAGTTCTGACCCAAGCCCCTTGCTGGGTAACTCTTCATTTGCACCCTCTAATTAGGGTCAATTACTTGTCCTCTGTGCCTCAGGCCTACTTGCGGCCTCAGGCATCCAACGACTAACTGCTCCCTTCCTGGGGCCTCAACACACGCCTCCTTTTTTGGGGCCTCAACAATGCACCCCTTTTCCAGGGGTAGCTACTCTGCCCTGCTCGCTGGGGCCTACACTCTGCCCCTATGTTGGGGCCTCAGGGTATTACACCCCCACGGGCTCAAGTGCCTTTCCATAGGCATACCTGGCCCCACTACTACCAGGGTCTTACATCCCCACAGGCTCAGGTGCCTCTCCCATAGGCATGCCTGTCACTCGGAAGGTAATTGGCCTGGCATTTTTGGGGGGACTATCCTGCCATGGACAACCCTACCAGACCACCCTTCCCTGGCAGGGTGCAGTTTTAGGTCTTATCTAGGACCAGGCAGGCCTACCTGACCTGGTCTTGCTCCCTCATTAAGATGCTGTCCTTGGGCTCTCTTTCATTGGGCCCAGCTCTCACTCTGGCCCCATTCTGGTCTTATAACAGCCTGCATGCTGGCTGACCCCTACCCTCTTCGGCTGTGATGTCCCCCCCATATTGAAGGGACCTTCACCCCTTACAGGCTCTGGCCCGGCCTCCAGCAACTGCCTGCAAACTGCTTCTCTGTTGGCAGTCCCTGTTCGCTGGCTCCCTGGTCACCTTGGTCTTTTTTTTTTCTGGCCAGTATATGTATAGAAGCTCTTGTTGTCTTTAACCTCCCTTGCCTGGTGCTGCTCATTCTTTATCTTTGCCTCCCTGATTTTGTCCCTGCAGGTTCTTGCTATTTCCTGGTAAGCTTTCTTGGTGACCTGCCCATCTTCCCATTGACTCTATGCTTTTCTTTTGCTTTGGAGGAATCCTAGAAATTTCTTGTGCAGCCACACTGGTCTCTTGCCATTCTTCTGCTTCCACTGTGTCCTTCAATCTTCAGACGTTTGCTAAGACCTCCAATTGTGGCTTCTAGAGCCAGAGGAAAGAGTTGCTCCCCCTGTGACTGAAGATTGTGTGTGGCACAGCCAGAGGAGCCTGCTCACAAGAGAAGCCTGCTGTATTTTACCAAGTGCAGCACGTGTTGTCCAGTGCAGGCCTCCAGTTGCATACAGCTGGAAAACCACTTTGGCTAAATGGCAGCATAAAGTGAGCAGGAAATAAATAAGGGACCACATGAAAAAGTTAGAGGGAATAAGGAGTTATGCAGGAAAGATAGGCTGAGCCCTACTCCCTCCAGAAACAAGAATGACATCAAGGAATATAAGCTAATATAGGGAAATACTTTTATGTACAGCACAGGCTTCACCTATTGTACTCTCTGCCATGGTGCATCACTGAGTGCAAGAGCTCAGTAGGATCCAAAACCATATGCAATAGTTATATGGAAAATGAAAACATGCCCACTGAAAATCATAGAAAATTAGGGCTGGAAGGAACCTCAGGAGGTCACATCTAGTCCAACCCCCTGCTCAAAGCAGGACCAGCCCCAACTAGATCATCCCAGCCAAAGCTTTGTCTAGCCAGGTCCTAAAAAGCTCCAAACATGGAGAGTCCACAGCCTCTCTAGGTAACCTGTCCCAGTGTTTTACTACCCTCCTAGTGAGAGAATGTCTTCCTAATATCTAACCTAAACTTCCTTTGCTGCAGCTTGAGATGGTCGCTCCTTGTAGTCTTGTCTTCTGCAGACTAAATAAGCCTAGTTCCCTCAGCCTCTCCTAACAAGTCATGAGTATCAGTCCCCTCTCCATTTTCACTGCCCTCTACTGGACTCTCTGCAATTTGTCCACATCCTTTCTGTAGTGGGGAGGCCCAAAACTGGACCCAGTACTCCAGATGTGGCCTCACCAGGGCTAAATAGAAGGGAATAATCACTTCCCTTGACCTACTGGCAACACTCCTACCAGTGCAGTCCAGTATGCTGTCCTGGCAACAAGGGCACACTGTTGTCTTAGGACTGGTCTGGTGCAGGTGCCACATGCAGTGTGTGCCCCTTACCAGCCCTGTGTGCCATGTACAGAACAAGCTGGGTCCAACCCTGTGCACCTCATACATCAGGCACCAGACCAGCTCTATACACCTAAGACCAACAAATGCCCAGTCCAGCTCACAGTCCAGCCCTATGCCCCTCATTTATCCTGCAGGGCCAGATGACTTTGATGCCCCCATATAAACTATTTGACAGCCAAAGAAGGTATGATTTTCAGATGTAATAGCTGATCAGCACCAAATACATCCCCTATTTTGAAACCCCCTTTAATGTGAATAGACAACATCAGCACAGCTGTGATTAAAATACCTGCAGAGCTGGGATGAGATACAATCCCTTGTGCTGTTGGGACATAAACCAACGCCTAACGAATGAGCTCAGAGGAAACTTTTCTAATTGCATACTCGCATCTTTCTTGAAGTGTCCGACTCTGGCCTCTGTGGGAGAAGGGCAGGTAGCCAGGCAGCCCTTACATTCCTAAATTATGGTTGGTTTTAGGACCATTTCCATTCCTGAAATCAAGTTGCTTCTGGGAAGTTAAACTGCCACAGGCAGCTACCTTTGGCCTCAGTCCTCCCACTGAGTGCTGGCGTTCTCAAAGCCTCGAGGGCTGCACAGAACAGGGATGATGGGGGCTTTCTGCTTGGCAAACCTCAGGGGAACATTGGGACTCAGCGTGGAGCTCTGCCTTTGTAGCCTGCCCTTCCATTGCTGTTGCTAATACTTGTCTCCAACCTGATGCTTCCACATTCCTTGACCAATAACTGGGTTTGAGTTATCCAACCAATAACTGGGTATGAGTTATCCAACCTGCCAAAGGGGAGGATGAGCTGAAACCAAGGTCCTCCATTTAGGACTCAGGAAATCTAAATTGAGTGCCAGGCTCTGCTGTGTGATTGCTGTGCAGCTGGGCAGTCACTTGTCCCCTCTCTTGGCTCAGGGTCCAGTTTGCAGGATGAGGAGAGAATAAGTTAATTACTGGTTGTGAGGATAAGGTGCTCCCCAGCCTTCTCCCACTCAGACCCTGGTACCACCACCACAGCACCATGTCTACTTTCCCCACAATCCTTGGCATTTATTGCTGAATAACCCTCCAGCCTGTTTTGCTAGAAATCTAAAAGCAGCCCCTACGGTCCCGGCTGCTCACAGCAAACACCAAGTTACTCTGCTTTTATGCTGCTTGAGGAATGGATGGAAAGTGGCCTCATGTTAGTACACACACCTGTTAGCAAGCTGAGGGTTGTTTTGTTCGCAGCTGTGTCCTCTCCTGGACATATCTCCGTGGTTCTGTGGGCCAGATGTATACAGCTCCTGCTCCAACCTGCTTTTAACAGGTTTGAACTGAGCCCGAGAATGAGAGAGGCCTGCGTGATTGTAAAGAGCCATCTCAGCCATCCCAGTTCTGCGAAGAGCAAGGAAGTGGTGAGTAAAAGGGGGTACTGAAAGGTGAAGCAGCTGGGAGAATTCCACAGGCCGCGGGATGGGGGGGTATCAGTCCTATGCTTTTGGGCACCATGTGCTTTGTCTGCAGGGCCAGGACTTTGAAAGAAGGTTTTTGGGTCTGTGGCAGGTCATTTAGGATCTGCAGTGTGTGCTCATATTCTCTGTGGCGAGAGCTGCAGCCATATACAGCTGTAGTGCTCTGCCTTTTGGGGCCACGGTTTGGATTAATGGTGAGGGGCCAGTTCGTGAACTGAATCAGGCCCCGAGTGCCAGAATGAGGCCCTGTGTTGCCTCATCAGGATTGGGCCCTGTGCACGCTGTTTAGTCCTGTTCTGTCTCCACCGATCCCAGTACACTGGAATTGGTCCCTACGTGCCTGATACAGCATGTAAGGCCATGTTATTTGGCCTGCAAGGCTCCCCACGAGTTTAGAAATTTGGCAGCAAGGGAGCAGAGGTAGCTGCCACCACTACCCTACCACCAAATTCCCCACAAACCAGATGACATGGCTTTGCAGGCCACATCTGGCTTGCGGCTTGGGATTTGAGCACCCCTGATGTAGGGTATTCTCCCAAACAGTCTTCTTCAAAGTCCTACAACCAACCAAACTTGGATCCACCAACTCCTTTTCCATTGCAGTCCCAGGAGCAGCAGTTTGCTCTGCTGGAGCCCCTATCTGCAGCGCCCGCAGCTGCTAGGAGGTGGCCTGGAAGCCAGGAGAATGGAAAAGAGTCATTCTCCCACATGCTGAAGCCCTGAGCTTCCCCATGAATATCCCTTGCTCTTCTCATGGAAAGTCCCTTCCCTCTGTTTCAGACTTGGTAGTCTTGAGTCTTGTGGGGCTCATCTTGCCACCCCAGACACTGAGGAATAGCACCTGGGGAAGTAAGTGATCTGAGGACTGTGGCATTATTCAGGACCACCCAATATGTGAGCTTAAGGCTCCTCTCTGACCTATCTTCTCTTCCAGAGCCCAAGATGCATAGAGAGGTAGTTAGCTATGTTAGTCTAAAATCAGGCAGGGTAGATTTGCACCTTGTAGACTAAAAAAATAAAATATATAGAGCACAAGCATTCATGGGCTGAAGCTCACACCATCAGATGCTGTGAAAGGACATGCGATTTCCTATTGAAACTGGGTTTTAAAATGTTGCTGCCTGAGAACAGCAATCCTTGGGTCAGCAATGGAGTGTCCAGGGAAGGTAAAGTGTTGTCACAGACTTACCCTGCACACCTCTCTGCATGCTTCTCTGCACCCATGCCTAAGCCCAGCTGCATAAGGCTGCTGACAGAAGGCAAGAAGGTTTAGTGCTGGCCCATCCTACAGGCAGTGCCCCCCAACCTTGGTGCTGCCTGGGGCTGTGTCAGGTAACTGAAAAGGTGCAATAAATTGCACTGCTGACCATGCTGCAGTGGGAGGGTTTGGCTGGATGTAGCACAACCTTGGGCCACAGATTCTCTGGGGAGCTCTTTCCAGCAGGTCTGAGAGATTTAGCAGCGGAAGCCATAACTGCTCAAGGGCTGCATCCAAGGAACATGCTTCCCTAGAGAGAAGCACTTGATGGCTTCAGCGCTGCCCTCTTTGTTCCCCAGCTGTCCAGCAGCAGCCTCATTCTGCAGGAGTGGTTCCGAGTGTCCAGCCAGAAATCCTCTGTCTCAGAGATGGTTGCCAACCACCTCATGGCCTTCACAGAAGTCTCGCCAGCACTGCTCACCCATGTCATCAACCTCTCCGACGGGAATGGCAACACGGCCCTCCACTACAGTGTCTCCCACTCCAACTTTCAGATCGTGCGGCTGCTGCTGGACACTGGTGAGTGCAACAAAGACACCAGCTTTATGGCTTTGACCATGTGGCCAAGTCATGTTCAGCTCCTTGAAGCCCTGAGGAGGGGAAATTCACCTTTAGGTCCTACCTAAGAGATAGGAGCACAGAATTTGGCTCCTTTGCCAGCAGCTGCCTCACCTCTCTGCTCTCAGGCTTCCTCTTTGTCCCATGAGCCCCTCCTAGCAGCCTAGCTCTTCCATGCTCCACACTCAGACATCATCTGGTCCCCTCCTGCCTGTCTGCTGGTAAACAAAACCTGCCCCGCTGGGTCATCGTGATTTGCTCTACTGTGCCAGCCTGGTTGCATTGCATACAGTGTGCAGCGGTCCCTCGCTATGTCACTCCTGTCCCTGCCGCTGGATTCCACAACTTGCCATTAGCCAGCAGCTGCTCCCTGGCTTGGGAACGAGGTCCACGGGAAGGCTGGGTGCCCAGTGCTCTGTCCTGCCAGCCGAGGCCACTCTGATCATCTTGTCTTTCTGCAGGAGTCTGTAACGTTGACCACCAGAATAAAGCTGGATACACGGCCCTCATGCTGGCAGCTCTGGCAGCTGTGGAGCATGAAGAAGACATGAATGTTGTCAGGAGACTCTTTAGTATGGGGAATGTCAATGCTAAAGCAAGCCAGGTGGGTATTTCTGGGGCCGTTCACCACAAAACAGTTACATCTCTGATACTGCAAATCCCCAACCAGTTCCTCCTGGGGGAGCTCCCAGGCGGCTTCTCAAACCACAAGTATTGAAAAGGACTACTCCTGTGGGACAGTTTATCGATATCATGTGGCTTTGCTCCTGCCTCTGGTTTGTAGGCCTTATCTTTAGGAGTTCCTTCTCTGCTTCTGTCCCTACTTTTTTTTTTTTACCCAATTGCACCCTATCTCCCGACAGGAGGAGGGCTGACTGCAGGCCTGCCATGTGGATTCCTACCTCCCAGAGCAGTTCGTGGGAACAGGGCTAGACTACAGGCAAAACAGCTGGACTGCAGAGTTACTGAAAGGGCCACAAATACTGGGCCTGGGTGCTGGCCTGACCCTGCATGTGTCCAGCACAGAGCTCCCCTGGACTCTGCTTCTGGCAGTTTTTAACATATCACTGTAAAAACACAATATCACACACAAAAACTGTAATATCACACTGTAAAAACACAATATCACACACAAAAACTGTAATATCACACTGTAAAAACACATATCACACACAAAAACTATATCACATACCATGTAACACTGCTCCATTTCAATGCACTGGGGCAAAGAGGGAACTCAGCTGAGGAGAAGGGGAGAGATGAGCAGGTTTATGAGCTAGGTGGAGCCTAGCAGGTCTTTTGGAAGAGGAGTGGAAAGAGTCCTTCTCCCTTGGTATGCATCAGCCTTGGCTGAGTGGGCCTGTCCCCTCCCCAGCACTCCCTGCTGTTCTGTTAGACCTTCCTGTCTTATGTCCCTGGAACATCTGTCTGGCTTGGAGCAGTCTTCTGCACTGGCAGAAGTAGCCATGCCCTCTCCCTGTTGGATTGGAAGGTGCCAGGTCCCCTTTGTAGCCTCCTCTCTCTTCTCTCGGTTCCAGGCTGGTCAGACGGCACTAATGCTTGCTGTCAGCCACGGCAGGCAGGAGATGGTGGAAGCCTTGCTGGCCTGCGGTGCCGATGTGAACTTGCAGGATGAGGAAGGGTCCACGGCGCTGATGTGTGCCTGCGAGCACGGACGGGTGGAAACCGTGAGACTGCTCCTGGCACAGCCAGTCTGTGACCTCTCCATTGTGGATAACGTGAGTGCCACTTCTGGCCCGAGGCTGCAGCTTCTCCCTGCATCTTCTCTGCCCTGTTTCCAGAGCTGCTGCCCCCCACCCCCATAAAGTCTTCTCTGTCTGACAGAGCTGCTGTTGATAAAAGATGCTATCGTGCATGCCCCCTACTGCCCTCTCATATGCTCACACACACAGTCCCCTTGTACTTTCTCAGGCTCTTTGCTTTTACTGTTAGTATTTTCCAGTCTGTCCTCTCCTATTCCCCCTCCTCTGAGCCCCACACTGTTTTCACCCCTCACTCTGCTGCCTGCTCTGCGCATCTTGGTTTCTCCACTGCTGTCCTTTGCTACATGTGCCAGTCTCTTCAGCATGGCCCCCTTTGCAAACCCAAGGTTTGCTTGATGCATAGATGTGAGCATTTTCACCCTGCAAATTATCTGCAATTGGACCAGGATTTTTATAAATATGTTTGTTCTTGGTGATTGCTTGTCAGACCCCTTATTTGCACAAACTATTGATTGGGACTAATTGTTCCTTATTTGTGGCTGCCCATTAAATTGTTTCTGCTGCCTGATTGGCTAAGTGGAATTTTCTGAGCTAGAAATAGTGCACAGCACACACCCTTGACTTGCATGTATTCAAAATGACATTTCCAAATGTGTGTTTCCAATGTCTATCAAAACACAAACCCCTTCGGACAAAAAGCCATTGACAAGGGAGAATGGCCTGGATGAAGCCAACAGCTGTGTGGAGGCAGAAGGAATGTGGCTGGCAGGCATCATCCAGTGTCTTTTCCATCTGCACTTCACAGCCAGTAAGAGGGGAGGTGGATCTGTCCTGACCTTCTCTGTAAAAGAACAGAGTCTATAAGCTGTGTATAAGCATAGCATTTCTATTTTGTCCCTTTAGATACTCCCCAAAAACTTAAGTAATGTTCTCAGTGTCATAGCCCAAGTGGTGTGTGATACTTACTCATGGGCTTAAAGAGCTTAGACTAGTTGCAAGAAGATGGGATTGCAATAATTAAACCTGCTTTGCTGACAGTTGCACCAGGTGACCTACTCTGAAAGCTCGGGTGTCTCCTGAACCTCTTTCTTTTATTTCCTAGGATGGTAACAATGCAGTAGCAATTGCACTGGAGGCCGGGCACAGCAACATTGCAGTGTTAATGTACGCCCACCTCAACAGCTCAAAGGCACAGTCTCCCGTGAGTAACCTCGTGCTGTCCCAGTGAAAACAATTGCATCTTTTGCCACATTCAGATTCTTCCAGTGGCTGCACAAGAGACAGGTCACTTTGCTCACTGGGACCTGCTGAAAGCCACAGATTTCCTTGTCTGGCTTAAAAAAAACCAAAACAAAAGTGGTTGCTGAACTCTCTTTGGCCATCTGTGCAGGAGGTATGTCAATGCAAGTCCCAGCACAGGATCTCTTCATACCAGAACGCTCGTGACAACCTGGCACAACAGTATGGGGAGTGGAAGGAAGATGAGATTGGCTTTATTCTGCCAGTCTGTCAAAAGGAGGGATGGGTCAGGCTAGGCTTGGAAAGGAATAATGAGAGAGAACCAGATAGAACTGGCCAGGGGAGAAATTAGGAACGAGACAAGCAAATATTTCCTGTTGGGGGTCAGAGTAGAGCTTCCAAAGGGAGCAGAGAAAGCCCCAGCCTTGGAATCACTTAAACCAGAGCCTGGCAGAGTTCCTGGAAAGGTTTTGTGGGGACCAACCTCCTCTAGCTGAGGAAGAGACTTCCCTGTATTAACTTTATTAGTAATTGTGAAGGGGGAGAGCAAAATAGGGGATTTCCCCCATGTGCTCCAGCTGTCCATTCTACAGTGTGTGTCAAATGGGAGCATTTCAGACCTAAAAGAGGGTTAATTTGGAAAAGACATTTTTCACTGTTACCCCAGTAACAATGTCCTGCAATGGCCTCATCTACACTGCAGGGCTTCTGCTTGCAGACAGGAGCTTCTACATTAAGCTGCCAAAGCATGTGCATCCCCATGCAGGTTCTGATAGCTCCACACAGCTCTTGCCAGAGCTGCCCAGCTCCACCTCATCGGCTCTGCTGGCAGGACAGAAAGTGTACCTGGGGAATATACTAGCCGTTAGAGGGACCTCAGCAGATGACAGAAGGTGTGGGTTTGCCTGTACACATGTTCCCCAAGCTTTTGAGTTAGAAGCAGATGTCTTTGTTTGATCAGAGATGGCATTAGTCTGCTGGGAGAAATAAGGGTTTGTGCCAGCCCAGGGAGTTGTGTGAACAAACACCCTCCCAGTTTTCAGCAGAGCCTAATGCAACACCATATGCATAAGGAAGGTGAATTGCTTGCAGGTTGATGTTGCTCGGCGTTTGGTACAAGGGCCAGTTCAGTTTGTTGGATTTTTTATTTTTTTGTTGGGTTTTTTTTTGACAAAATATTTTTTCATTGAAAAATACTGACTTATCAAAACTGATGGTAGTCTTTACAGAAGAGTACAGGCTTGGACAAAAGCATTCATGCAATAAGCTTTCCTGGGATTGAGGTGGACCTTTCACTTAGACAGACCTCAGAATAACAAGTAGCCTGGTGATCTAGGCACTCAGCTAAGATGAGTGTTCAAATCCCTTAACTAGGCTGGAATCTCCCTTCTTTTTTGTGAAAGATCTTGGTTTCATGTAGAAGTTTAGTGAATCTTCTTCTCTTTGTGTCTGCAGCAGGGGAAGAGCCCTACCATCCCAAGGAAGCAGCATTAGATCAGCCCTCCCGCCTGGGATGCATGTCTCACCGCCTGGGATCAGAACCTCCACCATATTCATATTCCATCCAAGAGCTCAAGCCCAGTTCATTACGTCCATATATTAAATTACCCCTAAAGTCCCACAAGTGTTTTCATTCCTGCCAAATATGACGGGGGGGTCAGCCCTCCACTTCAGTGAACTCTCCTCTACTGAAAAGAAACAGCTTGGGTGAGCCAGCAGCATCCCATAAAGTAACAAGGCATCTGCTTGTAGAGTGAAATTGCTTGCAGCAAACAGATACAGATACAGATCGCTTCCAGCATCTCTTCTCTTCCCACCCCCTACCTACCCTTGAAGCTGCAGAGGGTATGTTCCCTTACAGAGCATACCCAGGAGTACTCTGTAATGAGTTGGCCAACAAGGGTTTTTTGTCCCTGTAAACAGGAGGAGTGGGAAGCCATCCGGGTCTGAATTTTCCACAGAAAAAAAATTAAATTCCTTGATAGGAGTTGGAGTACAATTGGGCCAAAAATAGCTGTCGAAATGCAGCTGCAGTTCACATGGGAGTTGGAGTTTGGATTTCTTGTGATCACCTCCTTTTCCAGCCAGAAATGCCTGGTAAGACTGTATCTCCCATAGCGCACTGTGCTCTGCTCTTGGGGTCTGGGGTGGAGATTGTCTCCCCCGAGGTATTCTCCAAGTCAGGAGCCCAGCTTATACAGGAGAATGGGACAGAGCTACAGCTTCCATCAGGCACCGTGTGAGCATCACTAAGGAGAAGTGCTCTGGCTTTCTACTGTGCAGTTTCTCACCAAAATCCAGTTTTCTGAAAAATGCACACACACTTCGTGAAAAAGTTTAGTCAAGAAAGAATTTGGACAGACAGTTAATAATTTAATTAGCCGGACAGGATAAATAACTTTTCTTTTTGCTGTAGGAGTGAGGCGAGATCCTCAGGATAAGGAAGAGGGAGAGATGGCCAACCAGATTGCTGTGAAATCACTTAAACTAGCCAGCCAGGTCTTTTGGAGCTTCAGTACCTCTTTGCTTGAGGATGGATCCCTCTCTGCTGTAGGAGTTGGAGAGGGAAATTACCTTTCAAACCTTGACTGCTTTGCCCCTCTCTAGCTTCACAGCCATTAACACTGAAAGCTGGTATAGTTCATAAACTCCTCCCCATCTTGCTCTTTGAACACCTTCCTGACTTCTGCCGAGGAAGTAGAAACAGGTGGGGCTGTTAGGTTGGGAAGCAAAAATCGGAAGTAGCAACCAAACAGGCAGCCAAAGTCATGTGGGAAGAGGAAGGGTCTCAGAGGTCTAACCAAGGGGATGGATGTAAGGAAGGGGATTTGCTGGACACTTCAATGAAGAACTTTCAAATATTAGTGCTTGGTTAAGCTAGAAGGCTGTAAACAGGCCTCTCATCTGAGGTCGTTCTGACTGATCTGAGCAATCCCTGGTTCAGAAGAGGAGTGACACAGCCCTTTACCTACCTAGCACTTCTGAGCTGTATTGCTTCTCAGTGGCCAGGGAGAGCACAAAGCCTGACAGGCTTATCCCTGGATGTTTGGCAGTTAACTTGAATGAGCTGCTATTATATTACAAGCATACATAGCACTGGAGGTTGGCTGGGGGAAGGTGTGTTAGCACATTTTATCTTGTACACTTCACAGGTACTTCAAGTGGGACTAGGATCCCTGAACCAGGAAGTGGCTGAGCCAGACTGTTCTAGCAAGGTGCGCTCAGCCAGACCTGCCTAAAGAAAAGAGGGCAAGCAGTCCTAGAGTCTCCCCATCCTCCTTGCTCTATCTAACCCTTGTTTCTTTTACTAGTGAAGGCACCAAACCCTTATGATAAACCAAGCTCTTTCCTGGAGCTTTCGTTCAACCTCCCCAAGCAGCGGCTGTTGCATTACATGGTTGCACATCTCATCTGCAACTTTGCATCCACAATCCAGAGAAACCCATCCCTTGGACTGAGGGATGACCTTGCAGTCTATGGGTGTCTCCCCACAGGCAGAAGCTTGCCATTGGCAAAAATAACAGCAGCACAAATTTGTGCCCCTGTGCATGCCCTTGCACATGGGGATGGTGCAGGGCAAATTATCCAGGGGGTAGGGGAGGCTGGGGTCAGCACCTGTGCTGGCCCCAGCAGCCTTACCTGGGGTCCTGAGGGCCTTTTGGGGCAGCAGTGACCAGACTCCAATCTCTGCGCCTTTTTTAGCAGCAGGTTGACATGGGGAATCTCCTGGTGTCAAACCCCGCCCCAAACTTGCCATGCTGCAAATTAACAGTGCAGCAAATGGTTGTATGTATGCCACATGCAGTTTACAGCACCTCAAATGGGTTTAAGGTGCCGCAAACTGCATGTCTGCACGCATTGGGATGTGCCCTCTGACTCCAAGGGAGCCTGCTTAGAGCCGTCTGTCACTAAGCAGTAGGGCTGCGCGAAGTTTCGGGTGGTGATTCGATTTGGTGGCGATTCGGCCTGATTTGGTGGCTGAATCTCCAAATCCAAATCAAATCAATTAAAAAAAAAAGGGCAGGGGAGGGGGGACTGGGGGAGAGGACCATGGGGGAGCCCCTGCCAGCCCCTGAAACCCCACCCCCCCCCCAGGGCTGCCCCTGCCAGAGCCAGCTCCTGGCCCTTTTCTCACGGGTGGTGATTCGATTTGGTGGCGATTCGGCCTGATTTGGTGGCTGAATCTCCAAATCCAAATCAAATCAATTAAAAAAAAAAGGGCAGGGGAGGGGGGACTGGGGGAGAGGACCATGGGGGAGCCCCTGCCAGCCCCTGAAACCCCACCCCCCCCCCAGGGCTGCCCCTGCCAGAGCCAGCTCCTGGCCCTTTTCTCATTTTTTTTCAGCACCCAGTGAGCACCGGGGCTTTTTTTTAACAAGTGCCCAGAGCTGGGCCGGTGGGGCAGCCATTGCCAGGGTGGGATGGGCCTGGCTAAATCAGATTCAGCCGAATCAAATCACTATCCCCCGAATGGGCCAAATCCGAACCCAAATCAAATACTAGCCGCTTCGCACAGGCCTACTAAGCAGCTTTTCAGGGTTTCCCCACATGAAAAACATTGTAGAACACTTACCTTGCAGCGTGTATGACTAGGGAGCTCACTCTGAGGTTTCACTAACGCATAAAGGGACCTCCCCCTAGACCATAAAAATCAAACTAGTTGGTAACAAAATAAAAAAAGCCTGTGTGTTGGAGAGCAGTCATCATTGTACTGGGACGGGGCACTGATCAGTAACTAGCAAAGAGCATGACAGAACCTGCACAGCAGCTCTGGGGCTAGCAAACACTTGTGCTGTAGCTCCAAGAGCACCTGAAAGCTTATGGCTGCATTTGTAAACACTGCCTGTTCTACGTTACCACTGTGGAACAAATTCTTCACTCCATCCCAGGTCTTTTTTATCATAGACCTCACCTGAGCCATAGTAGAGAATTTAAGAATTGCTATTCTGTTAAGTTCGCTATGGGCAAAACTGCTATCACTGCAGCAAACCCATTTCAGCTATGCACTGAAGTCCATGTAGGATGCTCACAGCAAGTCTAGTCAAACCTATCTGCTTACACTTGCTTTCTATGTACTTCATATTAGAATGCCTTAGTTTGCTGGTTTATTTGTCAATCGGTATTTTAATATTGATGTTTATTTTTAAAAATATAAATAAAATCTAAAGTTAAATATTTAAGTAGCGTTACCATGAGCAGTCCCCTGTCCTCATCTACACATTTGTTTTCCTCTAAGGTTACTAAGCACTGACTGAAGCATTTCAGCTTCTGGGAAGTTAAATTGAGGAAGGCAGTTTGATGAAAGTATCCTGGTCCATATTGTACAAAACAATCTTTTCTGTCATAGATTCATAGATGCTAGGGTCAGAAGGGACCTCAACAGACCATTGAGCCCGACCCCCTGCCTAGGCAGGAAAGAGCGCTGGGGTCAGATGAGCTCAGCCAGATGCCTATCCAGCCTTCTCTTAAAGACCCCCCCAAGGAAGGGGAGAGCACCACCTTCCTTGGAAGCCCATTTCAAATTTTGGCCACCCTTACCAGGAAGTTTTTCCTGATATCTAGCTTAAATCTGCTCTGTCAGTTTGTGACCATTGTTCCTTATTACCCAGAGGCACCCTGGTGAACAGAGCATCTCTGCTCCCTTGCTGCGTCCCCCTAATGAATTTGTAGGCGGCCACAGAATCACCTTAGCCTTCTCTTGCAGAGGCTGAAGAGGTCCGGGTCCCTCAGTCTCTCCTCGTAGGGCTTGTCCTGTAAGCCCCTAACCATGAGTAGCCCTCCTCTGGACCCCCTCAAGTCTATCAACATCCTTCCTGAAGTGCGGCGCCCAAAACTGGACGCAGTACTCCAACTGCGGTCTGACCAATGCTGCATAGAGGGGAAGTATCACCTCCTTGGATCCATTTGTCTCACACCTGCTGATGCATGATAAAGTGCAGTTAACTTTGCTGATGCTTTCATCACGCTGACTCATGTTCATCTTGGAGTCCACTATGACTGTGGACTTTCTGCTTCTGTGCTGCTGAGAGGGTCACTTCCCAGCCAGGTGTGCAAGATTTTTGCGCCCTCGGTGCAGCACTCTGTACTTGTCCTTGTTGTATTGCATCCTATTGTGTACTACACCCTTTTCTAACCTGTCCAGGTCTGCCTGCAATTGTTCCCTACCCCCTGGAGTGTGCACTTCACCCCACAATTTAGTATCATCCATAAACTTGGACAGTGTACACTTCACACCCACATCCAAGTCACTGATGAACATATTGAAGAGTACAGGTCCAAGGACCAAACCCTGTGGGACCCCACTACCCACATCCTTCCAGGTAGATACCAACCCATCTACCACTCCAGGTGCAACCGCTAAGCGAATTTGCCACCCACCAGACCATGTAAATATCTATGTCACAGCCTCCTAATTTATTTATGAGAATGAAAGGCCTGTCCTTCAAGCATAGGACTTTCACACATCAGTTATGGGCCCTGGCTTCACTAGCTTGTGTTCAAGATAACACTACAGCCCATGAGGAAAAGAAATGTTTATACAAGCATAATTACCTTCAGGGGTAGTATAGGAATGAGGCTCAGACAAAATTATGGATAAGTTATACAAAAGTCTGTCAGTATGAAGGATATTGTACAGTACAATAAAGTTCCTTCTATCCATATCCATCCCAAAGTAGCCAGCTGCAAGAGGCAAATGCTCCCCGCTCCTCAGTAGGACAGAGCAACATATACGTAGCATGCAAGCAATCCTAGGCTAGCCATTCATCTCTCCATTCCCAATTGCACTGCAATATACACTGTGATACAAAAAAATTGATGCACGTTAGGAGGGGGCAGTTTGGCCAGATTCAAAAAGGGATCAGACAAATTCTTAGAGGAAAGGTCCATCAGTAGCCATTGAACACAGGAGTTAGGGGTACAGCTCCTGAATCAGAACTTCCTAGACCCTAAATGCTAGAGGCTGCAAGTGGGAAAGGGAACACCCTTGTCATTCTACCACTGTCTATGACACAGGATCCTGGGTATGTCAGACCTACAATATGATCCACCAACTGGTTGTTCTTGTATGTTCTCATTTGTCTCTCCAGGACCTAAGATGTACCAAATACTTTTCAGCTCTCTGAAGTACAGGCGTGCATTAACTTGCAGAACAATACAAAATCCTTCACCTACAAGCAGTTTTAACAACTTTTAAAGCAAAGTAAGGAACTTAATAGCCCAGTGCTTTCTCCCTGGAATTATTCTGGCCAATGGAGCCAGCAGAAGTACATGCATCTTATCTTACATGAAAAGGCAATGTGGTACTGGAAAAAAAAAATCCTTTATTTTAGTCACTGAAATGCAATGCCCCTCTTCATGCACGTCTGGCAGCACAGATGTTCACTGCTACTTCATTACAGCCGTGTAGAATGAAAGGTAGATGCACCAGGATTAGTCATCTGAAAGAAATCATGTATATTTTAGTTAATCTCATATAATCATCAGGAAACCATTTCCAAGGCAATGAAATACTAGAAAAGCAACTAAAGCATGTCATTTTACTCCTACCCAGTGAGAGACAGCTTGAAAATGCTATTGGTGATGCTGCAGCTTATGCAGTGTAACTAGTAGGAATTAGCACCTTACCTGCCTGCCCATAACCATCATAGGTTTCTAGTGGATCCTCAAACTTCAGGACCACTTAGACAACTAAAGATGAGCTGCATTTTATCAATGGAAATACTCTGAACCATTTTCAGAAGTGCTAACTGCCTAACCCAGGGGTAGGCAATTATTTGGGCTGGAGGGCCACTTAATGAGTTTTGGCGAGTTGTTGAGGGCCACATGCACTCACTTTCCGCAGCCAGGCCAGAGCTGGCACATGAGCAGCAACAGGAGTCCATGAAGCAGGTCCTGGGTAGGCCACACTCAGGCCCCAGCCTCTGCTGGACACCGTTCAGTGTTGGGTGGGCAGGGAGGCAGTGCTGCTTCCACCCAGTGTACCTGGCAGCACTGGGGAAATAGAGCTTGGTCCCACAGACCCTGGGTAGGCAGGGCTGCTTCCACCCACTGGCCCCCACCTCACCAGCAGAAGCCAGGGCCTGCCTCCCAAGTCTAGACTATTTTACATAGATAAGGTTATTTCTAGAAGAGTCAGTCCAAAGACTTCTGCATACTATGTAAATTACTATGGCTTTGGGCCTGTATTTCAGCTTGGATTGAATGCTTGACACGATTGGATTTGAACTCAAAACCTGCGTTCTGTTTCCCAGACTCTTACCTTGAAAATAGCAGTGAAAGACTGCAGAGCATCTCTAGGCAAAGTGTGTAAAACAAAACTAGACCACTGTGTTCAGCCATGCAGAGGGAAACATCAAATTCACTCACTAGACAATATTACTGTGTTTAAACAGCAGTTAAGAAAGTCAGATGCCAAACTTTTCCAAACTAAACCAAACTTTTCACTTGGTATACTCTGAAAAAGAGTCATGGTCATTATCATGACTGCTAATTTAATTCTTTGCTACTAAGCCCAAATAGGAAATATTTGTAATGTAGGTCAGCCCATGGAAAAAGTCATGGCAATATTAAAATCTTATTTTCTGATGCAGAAATAGCTAGTTTACCAAAAATAATTCTATGATGAACACTCATCCAAGCTGCCAAGGCCTAAATGTCAAACCTTACATTCTATACTTGTTTTTCCATATAAGACTCAGATTCAGAGTTAAGATCCCTAACCTTCAGTCAGGGTCTCACATAACCACAGATCACTCTAAATCAGCGGGTCTCAAGGAAGCCCTCCCTGGACTTTCGTGAACTGAGTGGTGGCACAATTTCAGAAAATAAAATGTATGCACTACAGTGCTTATTTCCTTGCAGAGGGGACGAGGCAGTAAGAGGAGGGGATGATCCACACAGGGACAAGCCTGAGCCTATGCTTATCTGCTCATGCCCTCACACCTTGAGGCATCCTTTAAAGCAGTGTGTTTAGGGACCTCAGCCTATGGGATGCAATCCAAAAAAGTGATTCATCAGAATATATGAACAAACTTTAAAAAAGGATTCTCCCTTAAAGAAAAAAAAAAGTGTGGCTTTTCCCTTGCACTGTCAGGAGTGCCAACCTGCAAGGGGCTGCTCAGGGCCCCCCATACTCCACACACCCCCCATCCTGCCCCACACACTGGGGGGAATTGGGTTGGAACTGGCCATCAATATTGACAAATGGATCCTGGTACAAAAAAGGTTGAGAACCACTGCTTTAAAGGATCTCATGGCACCCCAAGATGTCACAGCACCCTGGTTAAGAATCACTGCTCTGCAGTCCAGGCAGATACCCCAGCTCTGTGCTTAAGAGGGTCAAATGAAGATCACGCAAAAAGATCTGTTTAAAACCTGAAAGTGAATTAAATGAGTTACCAGGTTGATCAACGCAACCTCCTTGCTTCACGTTCAGATTCCAGCAGCGTTAGGACATCCCCCTCGCGGACGGGTCCTTTCACGTTCCGGATAATGGATCGGCTGGTGTCATCCATGAATTCAACACGAACCTACCAGTGACCCAACAGAAAAGTCTAAACAAGTGTACTTCACCGTACCACTCACCCTCTGAAACTGCTGCTCCAGATCACTACATCCTACTCCTAACATACCTGCTATTCATGGCAACTAGAGGTGCACCGATACAATGGTTGGCTGTCGGGTCGGCACCAATAAAAGGAAAAGTGATGTTATCGGCTATTGGCTTTTTTGGTCATTATAGCCGATATTTACGGCCACAGACCCAGAGCACCCTGATGAGTGTACTCCTGTCCCTGTGCCCCACCATCAGCCAGAGGCCACCACATCAAGCAGTGGGAGGGGGAAGGGGTGTCAGGGAGTAGTCACAGACCCCCACGCTCAGCAACAGAGTGACCAGAGGGACGGTTCCTGGGTCCTGCTGCGCACACAGCAGGGGCCCGAGCGCTGGTGCAGCCACAGATGCTTTGGATTGCACACAGGCAGGGTAAGGCACCATGCAAAGGACATTTTGCTTCTCTGGGCACCAGGTGCCTTTGCAAAAGTGGCTTCTCCCTGGCGGCTGTGGGAGCTGGGCTGTGCAGGGCCCGCTGGCGGTGGCGAGGCAGCCGTGTGCTCTGGGGCTCCAAACACACCCAGCACCGCTGTCCACGCGAGGGTCGGCCCTGCCCGCCAGGGACACCAGCACTGCGGGGAGCGCGGCTGCGCGTAGGAGCCACGAGCGAGCGAGCCAAGCAGCGGCGTGCGTGCGTGGGAGCAAGGGGTCACTGCCTTCCTCACCGAGGGCTGGAGCAGACAGGAGGCGTGCACGTGTGTATTATAAACACTAAACAAACAATAAGAGGCTTATGTCAGTAGTTTAAGATGCCTTGCACGATTTCTAAATATCGGTTATCGGATCAGCATCAGCTGCCGTGGCTGGGTAATCATCGTCAGCTATTGGTACTGGCCAAGAAAGCCTGTCGGTGCGCCCCCAGTGCCAGCCATCAAGTCTCAGCGCCTCCCCTTAAAAAGTAAGGAACGGGGAAGTCGAAATAAAATAAAATAACAAATCCTCCAGAGAAAGGAGATCAGGAACGGAGGAAGGAGGTCCCTCAACCACGCAGAGACGATTGCGAACTGACCGGGAAGGGGGGAAACGGGTACCCAAAACAGGCAACGCTGGCACACGAATACACGGTGCTGGGTGCTACGGGAAGCGCTCAGGCCCGGCCGTAACGGTTCAAACAAAAGCCCCGGACGCCGGGATTCAAGTGTATTTCCCGAAAGCGGCTCTGCCTGAAGGGAAACCCCACCAGCG